ACGAGGAATCGGCGGAATTATTTATAGGTTTAGGATACCCAGATAGCGACGCGTACCGTCGAATTAAAGGAATGCTCAAACGGTCCCTGCGACGTTTTCGCTCGATAGATGCTACTCCTCAATGATTCTCTTCCTTTACGTTTCGCACAAGGAAATTCTCAGTGTTCGTTCAGGTCTCGGGTGGCGAAGACATGCGAGGTGTCTCATTTTAATCTGCTATTGCGAATATTTGGGACAGTTCGATAGATGGAAGATACATTAAATTAATTATACCTGTAATATGATTAATTGCTGTTTCGCAGGAAAATATAACCACGTGTCAATTAAGGAAACATGAGGAAACCGTTACTTGCTGCTGATAACCTATCAGAGGGTATTGTTAAGGAATAAAGTTTACCTCGTTTTAGATTTCATTCGATCATTAGGCATTCGTATATTCAATGACTGAAAGATTAAAATGTGACACCCTGAAAACGAAATAACATTATAATAAACCTACTTGTACTGAAAGAAGTAGAGATTGCTTCCTCGCAAACGTGTCAGTACTCTTGTTACCACTCGTTCGCTGACAGTCTTCTGAAATATCATCGATTACATTAATTAAATCATGTCACCATTAGTGCAACGTTACTGAAACGTTTCTTTTTGCATACCTTAGATGTAAAGATCAATTATTCGGACTACGAACGTGCGAATTCTTATTGCAAAGAAAAAAAAACCACCACGCAAACGAAACATCACTCGACAAGCGCGAATTTTGAACTAACCGAAGTTTCGAGTTGAAGCATCTTATCTCGAAATGTCACGTGTATGCGCGCGCACGTTCAAGTGATCATCGTTCAACTCTAGATTGCTCCTAACCTTGTAGACTTTGACACACCCTATAAATTTACAAATTTCAAAGCAATCGCAAAGTGTAATACGAGTATAAGTGTAACTAATAATTTCTAATAATCATTATTTTCTCCCTCGAAGGAAACTTCATAATAAAATTGATGCGCGGAATTAGTATACGTGTACCGTTTTACACTGTTTGATATCTACAAGAATATTAGGGTCTGAAATGTTCATAACTGTAAAGTAAATAAATGATAAGCATGCGATTTGTTATCGGTTTTACTAGTGTCAAACATTGCAGGTAATAATTGTAAAAAAATTACGGTGTATCAAATAAATCATTCAAAGTAAAGTTGATTCGATTTCTACCCATTTGCAGTAGAGGTTTCTTTGTCGATCGATCATTTTATAGAAATTGTAACTTGTTTTTAAGTGTTCTTTCGTTGTAAGCTTGTTATAGATATGTATCTACATTATAGACACATTTACAATGACTGATATAATTTCTAATTCAATAAAATTCAAGTGACAAATAAATAATATTGTTTTTTCTTTACTGATTCTTTACATGGTTGCAAATATATTTTTTCAGGACATTGTTCGCAAGGCAGTTTAGCATTATGGCAAACCCATTAATTGCCGTGTGTCAAATGACATCAACTAATAATAAAGAAACTAATTTACAAACTGTTCGTGAACTAGCTGAAAAAGCTAAGTCCAGATCAGCTTGTGTAAGTATGAAACAATGTTTGCTATTCAATTATTTATTTAATGTGATTTCTAATTATACAATTCTATGCAAAATTTCATAGATGGCATTTTTTCCTGAAGCATGTGATTATTTAGCAGATAATAAAAAAGACACCATAGCAATGGCACAGCCATTAAATGGATCAACTGTAGCTTCTTACAAAGAGATTGCAAAGAATAATAAAATTTGGCTCTCATTAGGTGGAATTCATGAAGCAGTAAGATATTCAAAAATGTCTTTCACTACATTAATTTATTAACATTTCTCTTTCATTAAATATTATTTAATAATTGCACTTATAGTTATCCAATAATGAGCAAAAAATATGTAACACACATATTGTAATAAATAGTGATGGTGATATTGTTAGTACTTATCGAAAAGCTCATTTATTTGATATGGAAAATAAAAATACCGGTGTTAGATTGATGGAATCAGATTATGTTGTAGCAGGTGATAAAATTGAACCACCTATATCAACACCAATTGGTAAATTAGCACTTAGTATTGTATCCTTTATATACTCAGACAGTATTCTTTGTCACACATGAAAAATTATTAGTACTTAACCAAGTAATTAGTGTTATGATATGCGTTTTCCTGAATTGGCCCTTGTACTGAGAAACATGGGAGCAGAAATCCTAACATATCCATCAGCATTTACATATCAAACAGGTGCTGCACATTGGGAAATAATATTACGTGCTCGAGCAATAGAAACACAATGTTATGTTGTAGCTGCAGCTCAAAGTGGGACGCATAACAAAAAGAGAGTGAGCTGGGGTCATGCCATGGTAAATAACTTTAAGGAAAGATATTATTACATGCATTGTTGCATGTATTGATGAAGAATTTTTACTAGATTATAGATCCCTGGGGAACAATTGTGGCCCAATGTAGCGATAAGGCTGATGTTGCAATAGCAGAAATAGATCTAGGTCTTATTCAACAAATTCGAGAAAACATGCCATGCGAAAATCATCGTAGAACAGATTTATATCCAAAAATGGAATGCTCAAAACATTAACTTTAAACTCTGTGAATAGTTGGAATTTTTATTTCAAGATTTTAAGAGTAGAATACAATACAAATAGTCTTTTTTTATTCTTTTAATCTTTTTATACGAGCGCCCGCTCGTACCCAATTGATGATGTAAAAAGTAATTAACAATTACAGTAATAGCTTTGTAATATACAACATGTATTAAAGGATTTAAAATGTAGCCTTGTTACATTTTTGTAACATATATGTATAAAACAAACATTTATTATGATACATCTTATTGTACATACTATATAATGATCCATGAATATTAAATATGAATACCTTTGTACCTTGAAAGTGAAGAATAAAGTGAAAATAAAGTGCTAAGTTATTCAGATAAATAACTTTTGTACATAGTCAATGGAGAACATAAGAAGTGGCGAAAATATAATTAAAATATTCTAGTGAGATGTGAAACAGTACTTTAGAGGAAACTATAATATATTATTGATTGTGCTAATTCAAATTATTAATTTATTTGATAATTATTTAAAAGTTCAAGTATTTCTCCAAAATGGCACATGAAATGTATTTCTTTTATTTGCTACCTGTAAAACATGTAATGGAAACATTAAAAAAACATTATAACATAGAGATAACATATCATGAATAAACTATACATACTTTCACTAGTGTCTGTTCTTTGAGATCCTATAAGATCCGCTTCGACACCCTGCAATGCCCAATTATGTTCATATATTTCTAATGCTTCCCATTCTGATTTGAAAGCTGCTTTTGGATCTGGTGGCATAGACATTGCAGCACCAGACACTGCATCCTGTTGAATTCTAAAAGCATCTGCTGCATTGTTCTCCCCAAGAACAAGGGTATAAATGGATCTCAATCCAAACACATTAAGGAAATACCAAGATGCAGATGAAACCCATGCAGCATCAAGAGTAACTAGTTCTACACCGCGTTGTAACATTGGTTTGAAACGCAATGTCAATGGGAATGGCACTTTGGCTAAAATAAAACGATTAATATTTTTTTTATTAACAAGTTTGCAGAATTAATAAAGCTCAACCGAGTAAAACTTCAGTGATGATTTAAATGTTAATATACTTACTAGTAACAAAACCAGACAGCATCCAATTGATCCATCCTCCTATGAGCACAGTTGGCAAAACATTCGTCACATTTCCCTTTAACATATCTATCATCACATTGGGATCTGTTATTGGATTCTGTGATACAGGAGCACGTTTCTGTGTCTTGAAATACCCTGTTTCTTCATTATTAAAGAAATGTCTTCTGCTAATAAATGCCATCTTTGGAATATATTGACCATTTTCCCTAAGTAATCTAGAGCGTATCATCACTTGACTGAGGAAAATTCAAAAAGAGAGTAAGTGACAAGTAAATGATCCCACTGTTCCGGAATATAAGGTTTCGGATAATCACCTGTCTTGTACTTGATGAAGTTCAACCTTCTTCTGTGAGGCAAGCAGTATCGAAACATAATGACGGATAATCCCTACAAGAAACGTAATTACCACAATAGGCAGGAACACCCAACCCCGAATGTTTGGATCTAAAAGCAACTCGGCCATGCCACTTGTCGCTGTTCCAAAATTTACACGGATAAAAGAAGAAAGGTAAGAAAACCAAACAGACTGAAGTACATTTTATGAAGGCAAGAATACGTGCATGACAATGATGATTCCTGAACACGAAGAGCCCCCTACAGGAGCCAATGCTGCAGTAACGGTTCGTGCTTCGTCGATATAAACGCGCGTTTAATTCAGAAGACAAATATAATCACCGACGAGATATAGAATAGACTGAATATACACTGTAAATTTGTATCCCACCACCGTGAAATTATACGTGACCCCTGAACCATTCCCGTGTCACTTACAATGTTATCAACAGAGTACAAAATCACCACAAATAAATAAAACTATCCCCTTATACTTCTTCCCAAATAAACGGTTCCCTAAATAAATGTAGTCTCCCACAAAATTTCAAATAAAACCATTCTCCTCGCAGCCAACTCGACGGATCTATTTCTCGTTTCGCATTGAGGTGTCAGGTAACCCAGTCGTCCAATTTATTGTCCACCGAGGCACCAGGCCAAAACGTTCACTCTCCAACAGTCAGATCTATTTTACTCCCCGCCCGTCCGCGTCACATTTGAAATTCAATGCCGTCCGCATTAGCATCCATTATCCCAGATTCGAAATCCGCCGGGAGCGTTGCGATTTCGAAACGGGCGTCGATTCCGACGGAGCCGGATTTCCCGCCCACACGTCGGGGAACGATCGTCTTCATTATCGACACGGGTCCGCCGGGATGTGGGGAAGAGGGCCGACGGAGGGCGGTGCGGATCGTTCGCATTTGGCGGCGTGCTGCTCGTCGGGACACCTACGTATACGCTCGCATAATGCGATTCAGTTTCGCTGGCACTATTACGGGGTGAGATCCGCGAAGTGTGGTCGAAAGCATCTCTTTCGAAAAAAGTGCGTCGCACGTAAGTGCGAGGCGTGATATGAAACAGTGAGCCGGGACCGTGATTCGAATGGACAGGCGAGGCTAGCCGCGCGTCATGGGATTGTGAAAGGAATATCGGGAGCGTGCACGAAGGTGGCAGGAAGTGGGAAAAAGGGCCAGGGATACAACGCTCACGCCCGGTTGTCACGACGCCATGTTTCCCCGAAGTGATCTACCGATGTCGAGTATTCCTTTGACGGTACTCTGCTTTTTCGTACTTATCGTCGCCGGCCATGACGAATCCGGTAAGTCCTGCGGACGTTCTAACGAACGTTCCGCCGATCGGCCCGCGGACCTGACGATACCTCCTTCCGCTGTCTCGCGTCGAACACCGCGCTTACGACACCAGCCGAGCGAGCATTATGCATAAGCAAAGGTAGTCACACACGTACACCGTGTACTGTTTGTCATATATCTGTTTTTTTTCTTCGACTGGCCATGTTATTTCCCTTCTGTTAACGGGTGTTCCTGTCGCGGATAGAAATCACGGGTAGCAGACGAAAATCGAAGCCACCGTCTAACGGACAGGCGTGCGTGAAATCCCGTGCCGCCGTGCACCATTGATTAACAAACAGAAAACGATATCGAATGTCACCGGTGTGTCTCGATCGTTGAAATCATTTATCGTACGATGCACTCTGCTCTCTCTCTTTCTTTCTTTCTTTCTCTCTCTCTCTCTCTCTCTCTCTCTTTCTCTCTTATCGTTTCGGCGGTTAGGAGAATCTTTGTTTATATACGTGAACATTACAGCATACCAGCCGTCGGGAAATATAGGGATCAATTTGCGGCCCTTCTGTATATGTGCCGCCGCATACAATGTACATACTCGCTTCACTCTGTGTGCGCGCGTTTGTCACACAGCCTCGACGGACGTGTATGTGCAACGTAACTTGTTGACAACGTTTTTGCATTCGATTAACAACATTTTCATTGAGCGGGATTCGCTCGTAATTCGTTTGCCGGCCGAACGACTTCCGTTTCATTTCACTGGCTCGCGACTCGTTTATGGGGAAAAGGGAAAAAATCCGTCGAACCTTGAAAAACGGATTTAATGAACTCCCGGTTAGTTGTTTTTTTTATTCGTAATAATTCAGTGCTGTCGGGTTTTAGTATTGGTTGGGATATTTATTTATTTTTTTGCGTGGAGAGTATTTGTATACAGGAAACAAGCGAATGAAGACATTTTGGGAATTACTGTTTTATCGATCTGATTTTCAATCGGGGATCTGGAGTGATCTCGTTTTTATCGTGGGAGGATAAATGCGAGGAATAATTGGAGTATATTAGAAAATAAGCTATCGATTAATTTTGTTTCGAAGTCGAGTAAGTTACAGTTGCGGTTTATAGTAATAAAAAAATTAACAATTGTTTTCATGAGGCGGAAACCAATTGGAGACTGTTCGAAAAATCTGATTTATTTATCTAGACGTGAAAAATGGAGAATGAAAAATAAAACGTTTGAATATTTCGTGTTTGTTTACGTTTTCGATGTTTATCCTAAATATTTGTTGTTTCCTTGTCCGTTCGCATCGCCGGATACGATGTCGAGTCATTTCATACGCGGAAAATAAAGTTTGTTTAAATTGGGATTGTAGAGAGCAATTGTTGAGACTGCAACGTACTTACTCGGGTTCAACTGAACCAGCGAAAATGCCAATTGGGAGGACGTGTAAAATGTTGTCGTAAGGAATTCACCGAAAATAATGCCCGATTGTTATTTTAATACACGCTATGCAATATTTCACTCGTGCGTAAATATAATGGGATCATATAATGCTACACGTAATTTAAGGAAGACACTTAATACGTGAAAGTGTCACTGCCCATTGAGTCACCGATGCTATCGCTATAATAAGCGTTATGCTCATTAAATAAAGAATTTATGGGACGTGCATCGTTCGTACCTCATATCGAAGACACGAAATGACAGGGACGAAGTCAAGTCATTAAATGCTTGCGACAATTATAATTGTTTTCTTTTATTTGCATAATCAACAACTTTCTCTTTTTTTAAATCTCATTACTACCGTATTAAACTCCCGTGTCTGTAATTAAATTTTATGATTAAAAAATTGACACTTATTTTCTCTGTTACACGAAACGTTGTATACGAAATAAATTTAGCAAAATATATGGAACTTCCGTAGTTGTTTGAACTATTAAGACAAAACTTGGCCAATTTATGTGACTCCACTGCTACCATTTTAATGAATTAACGAGTCAACTACTTGGTTCATTCACACACTACTTGACAAAAAGTTCTGCTAATCTTTGACATCCCAAGAGAACAACTAGTGAAAGTTATTCCTGTAGACTTATCTGATCAATTTTATATTTGTTTACATATTTGTCAGTGTCAGCACTATATTAATAGTCTTTATAGGCTTTTACAGTTGTATTTTATTCGTTACATGTGTATTCTGTTTAATAAATTTTGTATGTGCTTTGATACAGGTATAGAGAAAAGAGAAGCCACAGAACGACCGAATGAAAATCTACCAACTCTAGACATCACAGCGTCACAAGATTTAGAAGGTATAGAGGCTGGAAGCACACCTTCTTTAATATGTAAACTTAATGTACCGGGTCAGGTATGGTGGACCAGCAATGGAAAGAATCTCACAACTATTCATGATTATGACTCTGGAGGACGTTTAGATATTAAACAAGCTAGCAGAAATGATATAGGAGACTATAAATGTATGGCACAGACTGTAGATGGAGAATTATTGGAGAAGGTCATTCATATCAGAATTATTGGTAACTATTGCAGTAATACGTTTGAATGCTACTATGATCAATACTTTGATAATATTCACATTTTATCCGTTTCATTGACAAATGATTATTTCTGCTTCAGAACCAGGCAGAATAACACCCGAAGGGAATGTTAGGGCCAAAGTAGCAGAGTCAGCCAACTTAACGTGTCATATGCATGGTTATCCGTTATCTCAGTTTTCTTGGATGAAGAGCAATGACTCAGAAAGCACTGAATCCTTACAAGAATATACCAGTATTACACAGATTAATGAGACTTACACTATATTGACATTAGAATTCACAAGTTTGGTTCACAAAGATAATGGGACATATATCTGTAAAGCGCGTGACTATAACAGTGAGATCAGCGCCCAAAGGCACCTTTTTGTAATCGATGTACCGCAAGTCAGCATTGATTTCATGAAAGCTGTCGGCGCTGGAAGTATATTTTTGAATTGGACTGTGAACGATGGAAATGAATCTATCAAGAAATACTTTATTCGGCATATGAAGAATGGAACTGACCGGTACCAGTATTATATGGAACAAATTGGAGGTGGTAATTCCAGTTACGTTTTAAAAGGATTCGAAAGTGGTACAGCATATCAATTTGGAATTGAAGCGACAAATGCTGTGGGTTCGTCGCGGGTAACGTTCGATCCGCGGTGGATTACCACTCTTGAAAAAGGTACAAAATGAAATGTCACTTTTATCGTACGCGTTGTTATTCGATCATCAAAGTAATCGATCATTAAAATCTGTTTTAGATCCTGTATTTGTGCCAAAGGTCTCTGTCAACGGAGTTACAGAAAATTCTATTACGCTAGGTTGGACAGTACCGCCAGCCGACTTGAAAGAACACGTGCATTATTATTGTTTAATGGCCACGCATAGAGGGCAAAAAAGAGAGACAGTGTACCCCGCGCAACCATTTACCGTCTACGCGTTCGTTGATCTCGATCCCGCGACTACGTACAAATTTAAAATCGCTGCGTGTAGCGAATACACGAAAGAATGCGGGAATTGGAGCACCGAAGTGAACGGCACTACTCTAGATGGAGGTAAATTAGTAACAAATTTCGTGACATCTATACGAACCTTGATTGATAATTTCAATATAATTAATAATCTTAATTTCAGTATCCAGCCCTCCTCAGAATCTGTCTGTCAGCTGCAAGTTCGACGTCATAAGTAGCTCTAGTTTCATTGCCATCACGTGGGTTCATCCAGAGAAACCAAATGGTGTGATCACTCGTTACAATATACAACTGACGGGAGTTGCTAAATTCAAAAATGACATGGGCCGTTTGGATATTGACAATTGGGGGCCACAGAATTGGAGCGTGCATAAACGGAACAGTACACATTACAATCAGATTCCATCCAATACAAATTATACGGTACATATTCGTTTAATGTTTCTCAAAGAATTGTTTTCTACAGTACCATAAATGATCATATTTGTTTTAAAGGTTCGCGTACACGGTGTAACGAGATCTCGTACACCAGGAAAGGATGCTATAGGCAATTGCACGACACCGGTCACCATTCCTGACAGAGATAGCCTGAACATGCGATCGTGGCGGAAAATTGAAAATCAGGGTAAGCAGCTGTTCAAGCTGTACCTCCCGCGTATTTCCGAAAGGAACGGTCCCATATGTTGCTATCGAGTTTACCTAGTTAAATTGGCGCCACAGAAAAGCGTTACTGACTTACCACCGCCCGAGGAGATCGGTGTATATTCGTACCAGTATGCCCACAGCTCGTCTACCGGTGGCGCTTACGTTGCCGAGACGTTTGACAGCGATCGATTAGTGTCAGAGATCTTCCTTGGTGACGGTGAATCGTACAATCGTAGTTCTATGTGCGACAAATGCATTGGACTTCGGGCGAAAGCCGCTCCACCGGTGTTGCACCTTGTTCCTGAAGTTCAAACGACCATGGCGTCGCTCAACGCGACACCTGCCACGACTACGACACCTATGACAACAGCTAAATCAACAACAACTAGTACTACTACTTCTACCACCAGCACTTCTACTACTACAACCACTACCACTACTACTACCACTACCCCTGCTCCTACTACTACTATTCCTACTACCCTTCCGACAACTACTACAACTACTCCCGCCACCACCATCACCACTACTACCAGCACCACTAGCACTACTACTACAACTGCTGCTCCAACAACAACTATTGCCACTACAGAGAAGCTGGAGACGATAGGTCTAATTTTAGACGACAACAACCAAACAGAAAATACCGTAAGAAAGAAAAGAGACAATACAGTGATTCAGAAGACGAAGAGTACCGACGGAACTCCTGAAGCACAGTTTTTTTCGCCGCAAGATGGTTTTCTGGATGAAAAAGCTAATTACACCGGATTTATTGAAGTTATCGGTACGATCAATATTCGTAATAGTCAGTATGACGTTCATAGTGGATAATATTGTGTGTGACGTCGATAAACATTTTTTTCTAGTATTTGGGAACGAGGAGGATCAATTTCTGCCAGCTTACAGCAATTACTTCACGCCCCTTTACGGGGGCTTGGACCCCAGAGCCGGAGTATCATCGGATGTCACTACTCTCAGCGTGATTCTTCAGATTTCTCTGGCGCTCATATTGATCATCATCATCCTCTTCATAGCGCTTTGTATATTGCACAGATATACGAAGCGAGCACAGCAGAGGGGCGAAGAGATTATCACTCTGAGGAATAGCTTCAGGTAAACAAACGTTAAATACATATTGATATTTCGCTCTGTCTAAGATTATGTATGTAATAAGTGCCATTTTTGGCAGGCATCTGTGCAGGAGTCTCAGGGGAAGGCATCAACTCGTCGCAGCAAGTCCACCAGATATGCCACCCATCCCCAAAAGCGATCTACTTCAGGCGTACCTCGAACGACACCGAGATTCCGATTACGACTTCCTAGAAGAGTTCCAACTGTTGCCGGATGAGTTCACTGACCGTACCACGAGGGCTTCAGAGGCGCGCGAGAACCTTTATAAGAATCGTTACCCGGACATAAAGTGCTACGACCAGACCAGAGTGCGTTTGGCACAGGTGGACGGTATCTCCGGGTCCGACTACATAAACGCCAATTTCGTGCTCGGCTACAAGGAACGCAAGAAGTTCATATGCGCTCAAGGACCAATGGAAAATACCGTTTGCGATTACTGGAGGATGATCTGGGAACAGCACTTAGAACTGATACTCATGTTGACGAACCTCGAGGAATATTCGAAGACGAAGTGCGCCAAGTATTGGCCGGACAAAGGGGAGACCAAGAACTTCGGAGACATCACTGTCGAGCACATTCGGGAGAGGGCTTACTCGGATTACGTTGTTCGCGAGCTGAAGATGACACGACTGGGCGAACGCGACGCCCGGACCATTGTTCAGTATCACTTCTTGGTCTGGAAGGACTTCACTGCGCCGGAACACCCTCACGCTGTACTGAGGTTCATCAAAAGAGTGAACGAAGCTTATTCGTTGGAGAAGGGACCCATATTGGTGCACTGCAGCGCAGGTGTTGGACGAACCGGAACTTTGGTGGCGCTGGACTCCTTGCTGCAGCAACTGGCCGAGGAGGGTCAGGTGTCGATATTCAACACGGTGTGCGACTTAAGACATCAGAGGAATTTCTTAGTGCAATCGCTGAAACAATATATTTTCATTTATCGCGCGTTAATGGAAATGGCCCAGTACGGCGACACTGAGATTCCGGCGTCACAGTTGAAAGCAACGGTCGCGAAACTACGGCAAAGGGACAACGGCAAGGAGAAGTGTAGAATGGAGGAGGAGTATGATGTAAGTAGAACATTCTGAATGTTAGCTTTAACGCTCAGAGAATAAATACATGTCTCCCATTGAATAAATATGTATTTTCTATTTTCAGAAAATTAATTCCATGTTGGAAGATAGAAAGTCGTACTCCGTAGGCGGCGGAGAGGAAAACAAGAGCAAGAATAGAAGCGAATTAATAATACCGTACGACAGGAACCGAGTCATTCTTACGCCAGTTCCAGGCAGAGAACACTCGACGTACATAAACGCATCATTCATCGAAGGTTACGATAACTCCGAGTCATTTGTCATCACTCAGGATCCACTGGATACCACCATAGCAGATTTCTGGCGCATGATTTCAGAACAATGCATTTCCACGATAGTAATGCTGTCCGATGTAAGTGTAGTACTCTGTTCCAACGTGGGGACCATTCTTGAAATTATAGTTACTCTCAAGTCATGAACTTCATTAGTTGCGTATGTACTGTACATGGTACGCAACTTGTTAGTTATCTGAATAATTACTTTCGCAACGTAGATCGCAGCGTTTTAATATTATTAGGGTATTGTCAATAGGATTGGTGTAAAATGTAATAATTATAGTCGGGTGAAATAGATTTTTGTGTCTCCGACTATAGGGAACAAAGTAAGTGAAATCTAATCATATTACATTGTATAAAGAGGTACGTTCAAACTCTGCTTCTTCGTTTGGTGGCGTAATTGCTTGAAATGTCCCATAATCCATAGAATTCTTCTAACAGATTAATCGTATTTTCCAGTTGAACGAGGGCCCGCGAAAGTGTCCACGGTACTGGCCCGACGACGAAGCCGTGTACGACCACATAAGAGTCAGATACATTCAAAGCGAGAGCTGTCCATATTACACGCGCCGCGAGTTCTGCGTTTCCAATACGAAAACTGACGAGAACGTAGTCGTGACACAGTACCAGTACCACGGATGGCCGACAGTAGAAGGAGAAGTACCTGAAGTTACTCGTGGTCTCATCGAACTGGTGAACCAAACCCTAACGAACGAAACGGAGTCGAGTGGCTCGCTGGTTGTGCACTGCAGCTTCGGATCCGACAGGAGTTCCATGTTCGTCGCCCTTAGTATATTGGTCCAACAGCTGCGGACTGAAAAACGCGTCGACATCTTCACAACGACGAAGAAGCTGCGCTCCCAGAGACACGGAATGATCAGCACCTTCGTAAGTAGCCCGTTCATCGTAGACAATCAGCTCGACCGAATCGCGAAACGATCGATGACATTCATTGTTTCAGGCACAATACGAGTTTCTGCACCGTGCTATCGTGAACTATTCGGATCTGCACAATCTGGCCGACGACGAACCGGCGTCTTAATATCGCAAAAGCGTAAGATCAGAAGGAAGTCCTGAATCATGTTCGGTGAACGTGTGCGCAGAAACGTTTCACGTACGATAAGTGTTTGGGAACGTATGAATGCTCAAGGGAACGTATATCGGGCCAACCAAAGAAATCGTTAATGTATTGGTGAATATGATTATAATCTCCATTGAGCTAGACTGACCGTACACGTGTGCATAAGAGACTGCAAGCATTTTGGGACTCGAGCTGCTTATGCATAGAGGATATAGCTTAAGCATGTGTACCGAGAGAGAGACACTTATACGTACAACACGGAATGAGCCGTAAAGATACCGCACATTTTCAAGCTCGTAGGGTTAAAACTGAACGCGCGATGCATGGATCGATGGGGCTGTTCATCGATATTAATTAACCAACGTTTGGTTAATTGTTCCATAGTGCGGTATACAGTGATGACTCTCGTGACGCCACGGTCACGACAGCTGTTGTGAAGCTATCCGAATGACTTGTTTTTATTACCAATAACGAGAACGGGGAAAGAAATACGAGACAAGTGTGTTAGAATGTTTGTGACCGGGACGGAACAATCGAGGAAAGCACCGACACAATAGAGGGAAGTGCTTTCCGGATTTTTTAAAATTAACGAGTATGGCTATTCGGTGGACTAGTGAAACGAATCGAACATATTTGTATGAGCGTACGAGTAATATGACAAGTGGACCATACAGCTTTGCCGATCCAACGTTCGCTCGTGTTCTCTCATCGCCGCATTCAGGCCAGATCCGGAAATACGAGTTGCCACTGTATCTGTAAAATTGTAACCCATAAAAGCGTTGGAACTTTTATGCGTTACGCTTAAATTCTTTCTAATCCGCGCGGATCCTTGGGCACGATCGAACGGTGAACGGTGAAGCTCGATATGGGTTTCAAGCTGAATCGGAACTCCCCTTGTATTCTTCCAAGCGTTGGTACCAACACGCGTTGTTGTTGTTCTACCGTTCGATGACAAGGAGAGATCAGACGCTACTACGATCTATCTTATATTACGATATACACTAACAATATCACGCACCCATGTGTGTTAGTTTGTCTGTAAGATACAGTGTCATATACGATGGGTCAGGGAAGTATTAGCGTGCTCGGCTTCTTCGTGGTGTCTTCGTGTAGAAAAATAACACGAGAATAACATGTTCCATTCGCGTGATCATTTTTCCTTTTACAGAAACTCATCGCGAAAGAGCCGAGCGCGCGAACACCTTTTTCGAGCCATTGTACATAGAAGCGTGTACACGCGCGTCGGCGCTAAGTTTTCGTCTAAAGGAAAGACTGATAATCATATTCAGTTTCGATACGCATGATGAAACGGCCTGTACCTCGTTCGCACGGCAGCTGAAACTGCTGTGAATCGTAACGCACGGGAGAATCATTTTTTTACTTTTACATACCGCAGCAAATTCAAAGATGTCCGTCTCTGTATGTGTATGTGTGTGTATGTGTGTGTATACGGCATGCCCACCAACGTGCTCGGTGAGTCATCGACGAAACATCACTCATCATTCGAGGACTTGCGTAGCACAATTAGCAGCTAGGTTTCAACCGGAGGATACTGAGAGTCGCGGGCAGTTCTATCTCGAATGACATTTTTCTTTTATATCAAGTTGAATCTCAGTTTATAAGATAACCAACTTGCACATCTGTTTCAAAGTTAATCCTGTCTCGATTAAGCTGGTGATTAAGACGTATCTCGAAACGTGGTACAGCTAAAAATGCCCCTTTCGCGACGGGCCTCGGTGATCTTGGTAAATTGATATTTTTCTACAAGGTTCGAGCAACCTTAAGCAGAAACTCGACTGAAATTAAACAAAGATAATTCTACGAAACGTGTTCTGCGTCCTGCGACTGCACATTTTGATCAGGAACCATTATTCTAGCCTCTGTTAACGTTGGAACTGCTCGTTACTGTTAGTATTCGGTGAAATAGTAGACGACGTTGAAACGGAACAAGAAATGAAAACACAGGTCGACGGGATTAATGTGAACAAGGAAAGAAAAAAAGAAAGAGGACTCTCATGGGAATCGGTACGTTACATTTCTTCGCAGGCTCGTTCATTTCTAGTCAAACGATTTTAACACCGGCACGCGCGCTGCTGAACTATCCACTTTAAACGGCAGGGGACAATCAGATTCAATTTCCGTTCGTTCGTTCGTTCGTTCAGTTTTCTTGTTTCCATTTGAACCGTATCGGTCGTCGAACGTTCTCTTTTTTCTTTCCTTCATCGTTCTTCTGACAAACCAATTTTCCATTCCATTCCGTACTAATAACGCACGTTCCCCACTCGATGTACATGCGTGTATAACCGATCCATTACACGAGCATTAATTTAGTCGCTAGTTCGCGCTTACGATTACGTTGCAATCGATAGAGAATGTTAACGTGAGAGAGAGAAAGAGAGAGAGAAAGAGAGAGACGCGTTATCCTTCGTCCTCTCTGTAATTATACCGTAATTATCGCTTGCGTATTAACGAACAATAACGACAATATGTGTTTCCACTTTTTTATACCGAACGAGGCGCACTTCCGGTGGCTAGCCGACGGAGGGGCGCGAGGGAAAATGATTTTGACGATCGGTTACGATTAACGCGAAAACAGCCAAGGGAGTCATTCTACACGGACAATGTTTTTCTCATACTCAAATCGATTCCATACTAACTTGTGTTTAGATTTTTATATTTGTACATAGGTATTTATATGTGTATATTTCACTAGAATTTTGTGATAATACAATGCTTTCTAATATCACGTCATTCATCTTTTATTGCGACGACGAACCGGGAATGTCGGTGTACAACCTTGCAATCAAATATGATCCGTTGCGAACTCTTGTCGCGTGGCCAGGGAACACTCTCCGCGGTGGAGATCCTCGACAATTTTTGTAAAGCTACATTTAACGCGCACAACGCGCGGACCGGAAACGGTCCGAGCGAAATCGACATCGCCGAGGATGTTGAGACGTTCAATTATCGCATACAGGAAAGTTACGAATGTTTCTGATCGTACGGTCGCACGTGGATATAGCGGTGCTCGCTTAAATTTCACTATTTCGAGTCTTAGCAGTGGAATTTAACCGAGCAGAGGGAAACAGGTGGAACACATTTGCTTTCAGAACTGAACTTGATTCTCAAATGTGGTACCGATGGTTTGTTGACATTTCTCTGATTAAAATGATCCCAAACACGTAAGTCGGACCAGTTTCACCGACTTAATCTAATTAACGGAATTAAAGACTCATTAGAAATCGATAGAATAAATCGATTTACGTCGTGTTTCGACTCATTTTAATCGGATGAATCTGAATGAACCACTGGTACGATGTTTGGGAAGGTGAGACATCAGTGAAACGGAAATTTTGATTGTGCTACGCTCGAGGTAGATTTCTGTTGAATTTAAGCGAGCATCGCTGTACTCTTCTCCGCGTCGTACCGAGAAAACGACGCCTCGTTTCGCAATCAAACCCAGACTAATTTATGTTGTTACGTTATGCTACCAGTGAGAAACTAAGTGATGTTTTTAAGTACAGAACGATAACTGTTATTTATAGAGTCTGCGATTTTATTATTTAATAAGGATCAAACGTGTTTCGCGCGCGCGCTCGCGCTCGCACGCGGTGAGAGAGTTCTCGCGCGCGAAAGTCATGATGCAAGACGATTTAAACGTGACCGAGCAAGATAGGTACAATTAAGAAATCGTAGCCCCGTAATTAGTTACATGTAATTGTTCTTGTTATGCATGCTGATTTTATAGTATGTGTATAAAGAAGAAGAAGAAGAAGAAGAAGAAGAAAGAAAAAAAGCATCGTCATTTTTACAGCCAGTGTACGAATTAAAGAAGGATTAAAAGCATTGTTGTAAATTAACCGATACGATTTTCATTTTTATTATTAATATTATTATTAATATCATTAATATTATTATAATTAATATCATTACGATTATCATTATTTTCAACGAGTCGACAAGGACTCGAGCGAGAATCCAATTGACGAGTCTCGAATTTTTCGAATTGAGAAACGCGTTTCTCGATTTCCGATCTGTAAACGAACAATGTAACGAGTAATTTGTTATTCTCTAAGGTGCACGTTGAACGATGCAAGCTGATGCTGCGATACTGCGAGTTTATGCCTCGGATGTAAGATTAAAGTTAATGACAGTCTCGTGTTCGCCATTTTCGTCTGAAGCGTGAGAGCCATTCTACGCGCGATCCGTCGTTTTATCGGGCTGTGTCAGCGTTTCATTCGAATGGAGGAACGTTCGAACAATTCCGAATCGTCCGACGATCTGGAATTAACTTTAATTCGTTTGGAGGTAAATGACGCTGCGCGAGCGTATAGGAATATATACAAGGTTATACTGAAATCGCGGATGTTCACCGTCGATCCTCTTTTCTGTCTGTGTATCTTCCGTAAAGAACTTCTTATTATTAGATTAAGATCGTTTGAAAGTATTCTCAATTTCGTTGGCTCCTGTGTAGCCAAGCATGCCATAGACGCACGAACATCTGCTGTTTGATTATAATG